CAAGCAGCCACCTTATGGGCACCTGGCTCCTCTCCTGCCCAGGACCTGGTTGCCTGGATCTCCGTGGGGTTCCTGCATGTCCCCCATGCCGAAGACATCCCCAACACGGTGACTGTGGGGAATAGTGTTGGCTTTTTCCTGAGGCCCTACAACTACTTCAATGAGGACCCCTCAGTGGATTCACCCGACGGTGTCTACTTCAGCAGTGAGCAGGATCCTGGGGCATGTGATGCCAACCCCCTGGCCTGCCTGTCCCCCACGGCTGCCTGTGCCCCTCACCTGCCCCCCTTCCACTTTGGGGGCTTCCTCAACCTCAGCCTGGCACTGCCACCTGGTGGGCTCTAACGGGCTGGGGCCACTGCTGCCCCCTCCCCACAGTCCACATCTGGCCATCAGGCTCATCCTTGGAGGGGCTGTTGCCACCCCAGGACCTGTCCTCTCTGTGCCCCCTAAGGTGTGCTGTGCTCGGGGTGAGGATCTCGGAGGAGCTCAGCTCTTGTTTCAGCACTGCAGCACTGCCAAGGGTGGACCCAAAGCCTCTGAAAAACAGCCCCTATGAGTGATTTTTTTGATTTCCATACAGGATGTCATCCTGTGTGCTGTGGGGTGCCCACGGCCACTCTCCTCCTCCAGGTCAGGGCTCCTACCACCTTCCCAAGGTAGGTCAGCGCACACAGGGCCCTTGGAGCCATGGGTCGCCTGAGTTCTGCCCAGGCTGGTAGGAGTGTGCAGTGTGGTGTCCCTGTGGATCTGCCACAGGAAGCTGGCAGCTCCAGGATGCCTGAAACATTGCCCCCGGCCTCGCAGCTGCTGAAGCACCAGAGCCGCTGGGTGCAGGGGATGCTGAGCTGCGGCCGCTGCAGCAGTGCCACCTCTGCAGACAGGGACGGTGCCCTGGGCTCGCTGGGTGCCTGCAGGAGCAGCACTCTGCCCGGCCCCGCATGGGTGCTTCCTTGGCTGGGCTGTCCGTGTCTGCCCTTCCCAATAAACAGCACTCGGGTGCTTTTCCTGACTAAACTTGCGTAGCTCGTGGGTACTGCTGCAGCTCCTGCGGCTGGGGCCAGACCCTGGCACGGCTGGTGCTGTGGGTGCTGGTGCCCTGTAAGGGATGGCCTTGGCTTGGCTTTGCAGGGGTCTGAGGGCTGTGGCGCCTGCACAGCACCCAGCAGGGCTGTGTGAGTGTGCCCTGGCCCTGCTCCCGGACCCCAGGTGCTGGCAGGAGGCTCCTGCCAGGGAATATGCAACAAACAAGGGAGTTAATGTGTAACGGCTGTTCCGAGCTGCTTAATCAGTTCTGTCCTTGGCTGCTGCCCAGCGTGCTCAATCCCCCGGCACGGGGACCCTCGTTCCTGTGGCTCCAGCTGTGTGCAGCCCTGGGTGTGGGATCCTGCAGCCCTCGGAGCCAATCCCCACTGCGCCAGGCTGGGATGGGGGCACCAAGGAGCTTGGTGAGGGTGGTGCAGCCCTGGCACCTAGCTGCAGATGCCAAGCACTGGCTGAGATGTCCCTGGGGGCATGGTGGGTTCCACCCCCTCTGAACCCTTGCCCTAGCAGCTGGGTCTGCCCAGGACCACACTGCAAGGGCCTCGAGAAGCCCTAATGGCAGTGGCACATCCCCCTGGGAGCCAGATTGACTCCCTGCAGCACAGGGGAGGAGTGTTGAGAGCAGTGGCCGGCTCAAGCTCAGTGTGAGGTTGCAGTGGTCCCTGGGTGTCCTGGGGTGACAGCAGGAGCTGTGCCCAGAGGCTCCTCCCAGACCTCGTGCCTGAGGAAGGTCGTGGCCAGTGGTCTCCCTGCCCACCACAACGTGCCCACATGTGTGTGGTGCTGCCTGGACTCTGCCCATGTGCTGACGCAGTCCCGTGCTGGCAGTGACCCGCTCGTTGCTGCCCGTCCTGGACCTTGCAGCTGGCTGGGAACATTCTGGACCAAACATTGGCACTGCATACAGCACCTCCTTCTGCTGCACCTCCCATAGCTGCATCCAGAGCCTTGGGAGTCATAGGGACACCATGTCCCAGGGCCAGCTGCAGGCTCACGGCTCCTGGGCTGCCAGCTGATCCTGGGTTTGGTGTGCACAGACCCCAGGGCAGAAATCTGGTTCCCCTAGCCTGCCCCCACTCCTTTCCTGGGAAAGCCTCCCCAGTCAGTTTGTAGCGCGTGTCCCCAGCAATGCTACCAGAGCGGCTGCCCCATGCAGGGGATGAGCTGGAGCCTGGTGTGGTTCTCCCCGAGTCCATGTCAGACTGGTCAGGATGCAGAGCCCTGTGGTGCCCAGGAAACCGGCAGCTCCTGCC